CTTGGCCACTCGAACTGTGAAGAAGTTCATCCTAATGTCCAATCTAAATCTGCTCTCTGCTAGCTTGTGGCCATTATTTCTTGTAACCCCGGGGGGCGCCTTGGTGAATAAAACCTCACCCATTCCCTTCTGTGCCCCCGTGATGAACTTATAGGCAGCCACAAGGGCGCCTCTCAACCTTCTCTTGCGGAGGCTAAAAAGGTCCAGGTTCTCTAGTCTCTCCTTGTAGGGCTTGGTCTGCAGGCCCTTAACCATGCGAGTGGCCCTTCTCTGGACCCTCTCCAGGTTAGCCACATCCCTCTTGAAGTGCGGCGCCCAGAATTGCACGCAGTACTCCAACTGTAGTCTGACCAGCGCCCGATAGAAGGGAAGTATCACCTCCTTATGTTGTACTTCTAATTGTTTGAGCTGGGGTCTGCAGCATATTTTCCTGAAAATCAAGAACTCTAGTATATTTACTGGATGTGAAGGACCCCAATGGGTTGCCATTCTCCCTCTAGCCACATGGTAGTCAGCCTGTGGTTTCTTGTCCCGTTGTGTTGTAAATCTTATGTTACTCCACGGGGTAGAAATGAGATAAGTATCATCTTCAATAATACTGTCCAGCCCTGCTGCTTTATGACTTTTTGGCCATGCGACATTGCAACTGAAACACATGGAGAAATGCACAATTCAACATTACCCAGGCTAACATAAGTGCAATCACATTATGGATATGGCATTATTGGTGCACATTGAAACTGTGTTCCTGCTGTCTGATTGTTTTTCAATGGATTTTTTAATTGTGTGGAAAATGAGGTACAGGTGTCATAGGAAGTGGTTTAAATGATTTCCACCATAGTTTTATTTATACAGTTTTCCCATCACACAGAGCTGAACTCTGAAGATCCAATGGAGAGAATGAAACGTGGATTCATGTAATGCCTGTGTATAGCTCACAGCTAGTAATTCCAGGTGAACTGTAAGATCCTTAACAGCACATCACGGCATTGGCTGTTGTGCTGAGAGAAACAATAAATACAGAGAGAGATTTAGAGCAAATCTGGAGAGTTGTTTCTCCAGATAAACCCCATTATTTTTCTCCTCTGGTGAAATACAAAATGTTAGTCCTTGAGGTTTTGTAGGGCAGATAAAGCTCATTCATTTATCACCTTTTGAGCACAATGAGTAAGTCAAAGCAGGTATTTTCCCCTGTGACTTGATTAAGCCCATGTGCAGTAAGTATCTTCTAAGGAACCGACTGTGGATGTAACAATAAGGTTTAGGCTCCATCTATATGAGACCCTAGTCCATCAGGAATCTCTAATGTAGGGCCTACCTCAGCCACTTACTTAAAGTTGATGTAACTAAAGCTTTTGTTAATGTAGAAATGCAAATACCCATTTTGATCTTTTCATTGCATATTTACATTTTTAATTCATTCAGATTGTTTGTTTTCACATGTCTAATCTACATCATTTTAAGTTATGACCTGCCATTGTGAACTGAGGGGAAATCAGACATATGCTGCCAGGTTTTTGGCATTTGATACATAGATAATTATGTTAGCATCCCATTGCTGTCTAACATTTACCAGCAGTGAATGATCTGTTGACTCTGTGAATTCCACGGCTCCTACTTTAAGCAAAATCTCATTGGAGGTCAATCAAAGTTTAGCTTGGATAAAGACTACAGACTTTATCAGACAGCTTACACCCCACGGTACTTAAGGAGCTGGCAAGCATCATAGCTCAGCCACTGGCACGGATCTTCGAGAACTCGTGGTGCTCAGGCGAAGTGCCCAAAGATTGGAAGAAGGCCAATGTGGTGCCTATCTTTAAGAAAGGGAGGAAAATAGATCTGAGGAAACTACAGGCCCATCAGCCTGACCTCTGTCCCTGGAAAGATCTTGGAGAAAATCATCAAAGAGATCATTCTTGAAAAATTGGCTGAAGGCAACTTCTTGAAGTATAGCCAGCACAGGTTTGTTGTGGGTAGGTCTTGCCTGACCAATTTCATCTCCTTCTACTACCAGGTGACATATCACCTGGACAAGGGAGAAGAGATTGACATCATATATCTTGACTTTAAAAACGTTTTTGACTTGGTATCCCATGATCGTCTTTTAGAAAAACTGGCCAATTGTGGCCTCGGCTACATCACAGTCTGCTGGCTGGGGAATTGGCTTTGAGGTCGGACCTAGAGAGTGGTAGTTGATGGAAGTCAATCACTGTGTTGCGCTGTGACCAGTGGGGTCCCCCAAGGCTCCGTTCTTGGGCCTATCCTTTTCAACATTAATGATGTGGACATTGGTGTCAGAAGCGGACTGACCAAGTTCGCTGATGACACCAAACTTTGGGGGAAAACGTCCACACCTGAGGACAGGATGGTGATTGAGGCTGACCTTGACAGACTCAGAATATGGGCGGATGAAAACCTGATGGCCTTCAACTATGAAAAATGCAAAATACTCCACCTTGGGAAGAAAAACCCACAGCATGCTTATAGGCTTGGCAGTGTACACTCACTAGCACCACAGCCGAAAAGGACTTGGGTGTCATGATTGACCACAAGATGAATGTGAGCCACCAATGTGATGTTGCAGCTGGCAAAGTGAGCAAAACTCTGGCTTGCATCCATAGATGCTTCTCTAGCAAATCCCAGGATGTCATCCTCCCACTGTACTCAGCCTTGGTGAGGCCGGAGCTGGGTTACTACATCCAGTTCTGGGCTCCACAATTTAAAAAGGATGTGGAGAAGCTTGACAGAGTCCAGAGAAGAGCCATGTGCATGATCAAAGGACAGGAAAACAGGCCTTATGATGAGAGGCTGAGAGCTACGGGACTCTTCAGCCTAGAAAAGCGCAGGCTCGGGGGGGACCTCGTGTCTGCCTATTAGAAGGGGTGTACATCAGGATCTGGGGGAACATCTGTTCCCCAGAGCACCCCATGGGATGACAAGGTCAAATGGTCACAAACTTCTCCAAGACTATTTCAGCTGGACACAAGGAAGAACTTCTTTACAGTCTGAGCCCCCAAGGTCTGCAACAGACTGCTGACAGACGTGGTGCAAGCACCTACTTTGGACTCCTTTAAGAGTCAATTGGACATTTATCTTGCTGGGATCCTGTGACCCCAGCTGACTTCCTGCCCCTGGGGCAGGGGCTGGCCTTGATGATCTTCCGAGGTCCCTTCCAGCCCTAATGTCTATGAAATCTATGACTTGGCCCCATAATTCATTTTCTGGCTCCAGGATCAACTGTTGACGTGATGCGCAACTGAGATGCATTTATTGTCAAATGCAAGAAATATTATTAAAGCTCATCATATCATGGAGCCAGGATTGTAGCAGATTACTTACAAATGGAAATTAGATTCATTATACTCCTCTAACAGCAGAATAGTATACATTGGGTTGATACCATGCTTGATTTTGTTGAAAAGGACAAAATAATGGGTATATTTTCTGTGGTGATTCACTGGCATCCAAAATACTTTTACAATGATATTAATAGTGCAAGATTAATTTACAACAGAAATGATATTTCTTTTTCTCATGGGGCTAAAGTAATGTATTCATTATATTTCAGCAAATGAGCTCAAGGACCCATTGTAGTAGGTCCAGGTCTGCTTTATAGACATAAGGCATGTGTCAAGCTGTTCTAGGGAATGTGTTGCTGAAAACACACCCTGCCCACTAGTCCCCTCCTCATGCCAAAATATTTCATGTCTCAGCTCTCGACTGAGAGCCTGAAAGTGGTGTGGGCATGCCCTGGGAGTATGCCAAAAAGTAGCTACCTGACTCTTCTTTTGGCATTAAGATTGTGTGGAGCAAGAATGCATGGGCTGAGTTTATTTTTGTGGTAGCACTTGATAGCACTATCTGATGCAGTGTAGATATACCAATAGTGAGAGTCCAGCCTTGAAAAAGTCATTATCTCGATACATATAAGAACATATGGGGTCAGACCTGTAGTCCATCTAGCCCAGTATCCTGTCTCTGACAGTGGCTGCCCATGGGCAAGATCCAGCATGGGGCAGCCATCGTGGTCACTGCAGCAGCTGTGGGTCCAGTAGCAGTGAGGGCTCTGGAAGAGGCAGTGGTGAGTCTGGAAGTGGTAAGGGGTTTGGAGGAGATGGCAGTGGGTCTGAAGGTGGCAAGGGGGGTCCAGAGGTAGAAGCAAAAGGGGTTTGGTGGCAGTGGTGAGTCTGGAACTGGGTTCAGAGGTCTGGGGGGCACCAACAGCAGGCCAAACTTGCTGCAGATGGCCAAAGTTAGTGAGGTCAAAAGAACCCAAATTGTGCAGGAGGCCATGCCCTCAACTTTCAGTGGCCTGCCAGGGGCCAGATGAAGAGGCTTCATGGGCCAGATGTGGCCCATGGGCCATGTTTGACACCCCTGCTTTAGAGGGAAAGCAAGTGAACAGGGTATATCTAGAGTGACATGTCCCCTGTTCATCAGCCTTCCTAGCATCCACCATCTTTGGTTTAGAGGTGCCAGAGGATACATCCTTCACTGTCCTGTTTAATAGCTATTAATAGATCTGGCATCCATGAAATGCTCTTAGTCCCTTTTTGAACCTGGCTGTACTATCTTCTCTACAAGCTCCTATGGTAATGAGTTCTACAAGTCAACTATGCGTGGAGTGAAAAAGTGGGCAAGGCAAAAACAGAATGGACGGGGTGGGAGGCACAGAGAGGGAGAGGCACATGGTTTGCCTGAAGTCACGCAATATGTGAGCAGAGCAGAGATACTGCTCAGCTATATTACAGTGAGGACCATATCAGTACCTACATAGCTCAGGAGAGAAAGCCATTAAATAAGTTTCAATTAGTCAGTTGGGGCTTCTGAAAACAATCTGAGCAATTTGAAATAGGTTTTGACATGGAAGCCAGAAGCCAGTGGAACAAAGGTAGGGAAGAGGGATGATGCTCTCTACACATGAGCAAAAGTTTTATTGCAATTCCTGGTGGCAGCTGCAATCTGTTATGTACTCTCTTGTTTTGTTTTTTAGACGCAAATCTGGACATAAGTAACATGACTTCAAATCACAGCAGTTCGCCCCAGGATGAATATCTCCCTCACTACATTCGGGATGAAGACCCTTTCACATCAAAGCTCTCTAAGGAAGCTGATATAGCAGCTGGATTTTATTTAACCATCGTTGGTAAGTGTCTTCAATTATTCATTGGAAGGTGTGCAAGCCACAGTGCTGTCTGTCAGGCAGCTGCAGGAAAAGCTGTAACAAGAAAAGATTGTGATGGGTCATGCAATAGAAAGAAATATGTAGTGGGATGGTGGCTTAATATTTTTGTATTAGGAACATGAGTATTTCATACACATTAGGGCTTGGAAGGGACCTTGCAAGATCAACGGGTCCAGTCCCCCTGCCCAAAGAGCAGGAAGTCAGCTGGGGTCAGCAGTTTCTTGAAGGTATCCAAAGTAGGTGCTCGCACCACTTCTGGGGGGAGTCTATTCCAGACTGGAAACTCGGATGGTAAAGAAGTTTTTCCTTATGTCCAGTCTAAAACTGTCTTCCAGCAGTTTGTGACCGTTAGACTTTGTCTTCCCTTGGGGGGCTCTGGTGAACAGATGTTCTCCCAGTTCCTGATGCCCACACCTTATATACTTACAGGCTGCCACCAAGTCCCCCCCGAGCCTGCTCTTCTCCAGGCTGAAGAGTGGCATGCCTCTCAGCCTCTCCTCATAAGGCCTGTTCTCTTGACCTATAATGATGCGCGTGGCCCTCCTCTGGACTCTCTCAAGTTTCTCCACATCTTTTCTAAAGTGTGGAGCCCAGAATTGGATGTAGTACTCCAGCTGTGGCCTCACCAAGGCTGAGTAAAGTGGGAGGATGACTTCTTGGGTCTTGCTTGAGATGCATCAGTAGATGCAAACCAGAGTTTTATTTGCTTTGCTGGCTGTGGCATTGCTTTGGTGGCTCATGTTCATCCTGTGATCAATCATGGCCCCCAAGTCTCCTTTGGTCGTGGTGCTAGTGAGTGTAGCACTGCTGAGCCTATAAGTATGATGTGGGGGGTTTTTTTCCCAAGGTGGAGAACCTTGCATTTCTCCGTGTTGAATGTCATCAGGTTTTGATCTGCCCACCTTGTGAGCCTGTCCAGGTTGGCCTAAATCACCAGACTATCCTCTAGTGTGACTGCACTTCCCCATAGTTTGGTGTTATCGCAAAGTTAGCCAGTCTGCTTCTGAGACCAGATCATTTATGAATATATTAAAGAATAATGGTCCAAGTACTGACCCCTGGGGACTCCACTGGTCACCATGCACCATGTTGACTCGGTTCCATCGACTATCACTCTCTGGGTCCGACCACAGAGCCAGTTCCCCAGCCACTGGACTGTAAGGTTGTTGAGTTTGCAGTTGCCCAATTTCACCATGAGGACATCATGGGAGCCCAAGTATTGCTGTAATGTGTCAGGCCAGTGGTCCATCCAGGCCAGTAGCCTGCTGTAGACAGCAGTCCTAGCTAGATGCTTCAGAGAAAAGTGCAAGAAATCCCTTGATGAACAGTTGTTTGATAACCTGCTCACAGGAGTGCTCTAGCACCTGTGCTTGCCCCAGGTGTATAAAAAGTTGCCCTGGCGAGCAGCTCAGGGCTACTTGCTCTCAGGAGCTTTTAGGGCCCAGCCAATTTATATCTGAGGACACTAGCCCCTTGTGCCAGCTGGACTGCTGAAGCAACCTAACCTAGAGTGGCCCCTGCACTCTCTACCCACTGCAGTAGTCTGGCAGTGGAGGCTGCTGCCTGGCTGTGACCTGCTGCCATCTGCCCCACGGCTCCGTGCCTGCCAGACCCAGATGGGGACTGCACAGCTGCCTGGGCTGCGTTGTGGGCACTGTAACAGAGCCTCCTGCACCTCTGGACCAGCTGCCAGTGGGCCATGTCTGCACAGTTGGCCTTTGTGCAGCACTGCTGTCATGTCTTCTGGTGCTCCCACCTGCCATCTGGGCAGCTATCACTCAGCAGATGTGCTCATTGCAGGGGCCCTCACTTTGAACTGTCAAAGCATGTCCTCCTGGCCCCAAATGGCCAGGTCAGCCACCTTGTCTGTCCTCTAGCTGGGTCCCTGGTGCTGGCCCTGGGCAGGCTCCTCCGCCTGGGTCTCACAACTTGTCTCACTAGTAGAGATCCTGGTGTTCCCTGTTTAAAAATAGCAAATTCTGATAAAAAAACCCCAAATTCTTTCATTAAAATACCCCAAATCCATGTTCTTCTGTGATTCAAATGAAATGCCACTATATAGAGAGGATCAGTTGGGCAACGTTTTATTGATATATTTACCATTTTAAAGCAATTTGGCAGCTACCAGTGCCACTACCATCATAATAACAATTTAAAATATCTATACACTGTGGCATTTGCTTTTGGGTTTTTTACCATAGAAAAATCAGAGCTGCCCCTGCCCCCTTTGCTCACCAGGAGGTGGAGCACTGAGCAGCACTGATATGCCAGTGCCCTGCCCTGCCCTTGCCCTTCACTCCTGACCCACAGCCCCTGCCTGCCCCCACTAGCTCCCTCCTGGCAGCAGCTCTGTCCCAGCACCAGGACATGGGTCCAGTTGCAGCTGTCTTACCGGTTTCTTTGTGGCTCTGATCTGTTCTGCTCCTTGTGCCTGTGCCCAGGCCCAGCGATCGCCATGTCATTCCTGGGAAGCCCTTGACTGGGGCTCAGGGATTGGGTTGGGCAAGACCCTTCTGCTCCAGGCTGACCTCCCCCTGTGCAGGCTGCTCTTGGGAGGCAGGGGTGCTCTAAACCTGGCTCTGGCAGCCTCTCTTACCTGGAGCGCTCCCCCATTTCCAACCCCCATCTCTACCCTCAGCCTGTCACACCCCCAAGTGGTTTCTGGGACCAGGAACCTCCCCAGGCTGGGGCCATGTAGTTTCATAACCTATCACTGGTGTGGGCTAGGGCAGGGCTGCAGCACGGCAGTTGCCCCTGCAGCTGCAGCTCCCACCAGCAGGTCCTGAACCATCCCATATGGCTGGCTAAGCACGTAGGGTGTGAGATTTGTGGGGGGCATGTGGGTCAGGGCCTGGGACATGCCGCAATCTGGGTCATGCCGCAGCCTTGCTCTGCTTCTGTTTGCCCTGCAGGATTAGGCAGCATGCTGGGGCATCAGGGGCACCATAGCGATGCTTTGGCCAGATGCCAGAGCATCTCTGGAGGACCCAGTCTCCGCTTGCTTCGTGCCCTGCACTACTTTTTTTCTGGGTGTTTTTTCTTTCATACCTGGAAATCCAGGTATCAAATTTGGAGCCCGCGCTGCAAATAGGCAGTGCAGGGAACATTTTTTCATTCTTAGTGTTCCTTTTGTGGCATCTCAAACTGGTCTGAGATGCCACAACAGGCACGTACATGCTGGTTGGGATGCGTCCATTAGGATCAAGCACTTTGCATGCCCTCAAAAAATGGAAGCATGCTGACAAAAGTATTTTTTTTTTTTACAAGAGCACTGGCATGCACATAGCTTTGTAATTTTGCCTCTGAGTTCAATATTGCCTCTCTTGGCAAACAAGCATTTATTTGTTTGACTGTCAGGCTCTGCCCAGTTGGCAAGCTCAGTTTAATTATTTGCCACCTTATTTGCTTGTGTTTCTGTTTTGTTTTTTTTTATAGAAGATAAGAGCTAATGTCATTTTTTGGAGCAAATGTTTTTGTTGCTTAAATATTTGTATTGTTTTTGGCCATGTGTACAGACAGATCTTACCCTCCGCTGCTGAACTACAATTTGCTTGTGATCTTCTGCAAAAAATTCCACTAATCTTCAAAGTAACTGGAGTGGCTTCAGGGAAACTTCCCCACCTTGTGATTTCTTGTGAAGGTGATATTGTGGGCACTTTTCCTTTTGCCTGGAGGCACAGATGAAACCATATCTTGCAGATAGGGAAGGCCCATTTATCTGTCCTAACAAATTCATTAACACTTATTAGAGTGTTTCTTCATATATCCTAGCTAAACTGAAAAAATATGTCATGCAAGTCACATGCATGGCATTCAGAAAGCAGTGCTCTGAGACTCTGTTCCCACTTTTTTGTTATATATGCAGCCCTGTTAGTAACCAAAGCTGTAGTGCTTTAAAGGAACTCCAGATGTCTGTCCTGTTCCTACCACTTTCTAACTCACGGTTCTGAAGTTGATGGTTTTTAAACAAAAGACCATCTCGTAGAAGAGATTTGAGTTCCAAACTCCCCATCATTAGCTGTTGTGAAGTTTCCATAAAAAAATAATATAGTGGCCCTCAAGATTTGTCATCTCATTTGTATCAAGATTAAACCAAGAGTGTCTTTAAACAGCTCTTTCAAGTCACTTCCATGACTATCAAAAGATGTTGATAAGTACATTTTCCACGATTGATCTGAACAAAGTGAGACCCCCATGTTTTTCAAAGAGCATCCAATTAGCTTTTCACAGCAGTCTTTTCTAGAGCTGGTTACAGACATGGGAAAAAACAAAACAAAACAGCGGTTTACTTTCAGCTCAGTGTGCCCCCGCACTGAGCACAGAACAGGCACTACCTTAGTTTGACCTAGGTCACCAAATGCGTCTATAGATTGCATGCTTCAGCAGGGTTTTTTGGTGCTTTTATCTAATAGCTGATTGAATCGGCTTTAGTTAAGTGTCAAAAAGCCCCACTGAAGCACCCTATCTATGCACATGCTAATGTACTTCCTCTTCCGGTAAAGCATTGGTTGTTTTTTTTGGGGGGGTGGGGGGGGAGGTGGTCATGTCTATCAGCACCCTACAACATGATGTGGAATGCTAATGGTGCAAAAAGCCTCTGCGTGAGTAATCTTTTGTTCTCCTATCAGTATATTCTTTTATTGCAACAGAAAATAGCTCACTAACATGGTTTTCTACTTTACTTGACTTCAGGTGCTTATACTTTCCGTTTATATATCTGTTTTTCTGGTGAAATAGGTCTTTGGACCTATAGATAAAACGATCAGAGAAGACAATCATCCTCAACTGTCAGGAACTGCTGCTGCTGTTATTTTCTAGCATGCGTGCACTTGCTTTAACATGTTGAAGATGTTTGTTATTAATAGTGAGGCTATGATAAGAGTGCTTCCTGATCAAGTTTGCAAATGACTTGAAATGGGACAGTATGGAGCTGAATGGAGCTGAGGATGGCATCCTAGGTA